TTGATGTTGTTCCACACGATCGTCTTATAAACAAATTAATAGATTCGGGCATAGACACTAGGGTGGTAGCGTGGATAAACGAACTACTCCGAAACAGGAAACAGAATTCGAATCGGTAGTTATTTATCGACCTCGAGAAGCGTCACGTCAGGAATTCCACAAGGAAGTGCAATCGACCGCTCTTGTTTCTGGCCTTCGTGAATGAATTGCCGACTAATTTAGCTTCAAATGTACGACTCTTTGCAGATGACTGCGTAATCTATAGGATTATCAACTCGGAGAAAGACGAGGATATTTTGCAGCGAGTCTTTAGACACATTACATATCTGGCGAAACAAGCGGCATGGAAATAAAACAGTTCAAAGAGCAAGTCCATCACGTGTGGTAGGGGTCGAAGTTACAATGAATTTGTGTACAAAACTGAACAATAATGTTATCCTCGAGTCAGGTCTTGCAAATACTTAGGAATACAGCTAGACAGTAAATTGAGCTGGGAAAATCAAGTCAATTTCGTTGTAAGGAAAGCCTGGAAATCTTTACATTTTGTTATGCGGTACTGAAAAAGAGTACTAGTGAAAGCCAAAGAACTAGCATATAATGTCATTAGTGCGACTATATTAGAATATGGCGCGGCATGTTGGGACCCATTCAGAATTTTGCAATAAAGAAATCTAGAAAAAGTCCACAGCGTAGAGCATCAAAATTTACTTTCAGGGTAGCAAGAATAAGGAGGTAATGGGAGTCACTCGAAAGGATAAGATTAAAGTCACGCTCTCTATGCAATGTTAAAGCGTACACAGGCCTTCGAGGCGTGGAAAGAAATTCAAGTCGATTAGGAAACCTACATATTCGGCAGAGCGGATCACAAGCACAAAATTTCAGACAAGAATTCAGAAAACGGACGTTGGGAATATTCATTCGCGAATCGCACTATTAGGGACTGGAACAGTTTGCCTGTGACAATTTTCGATCACTTTCCTCAAAGCCTGAGCAAATATAAAAATAAATTAGTTTCTTGAATGTGGATATGTTTATAAATATATTTAATAAAATTCAGTGCAATTACCTATGTCTTCTTTGTAATTAAGTATTATTATTGTTGGTATTATTATTAATGTTATTATCATTATTAGCATTATTATTATTGTTGTTATTATTATTATTATGTGCAGTGCAGTGACGTGCAACTGAGAGAAACGAGTTAGTAAGAAAGACATTACAGCTCGCTGTATCGCATTGCGGTGAAGTGAGGTGAAGTGAAGTTTGGTGAAGTGGAGTTTTATGAGAGGTGAACGGTGAAATGTTCATGAGATTTGTAACGTTTGTAGAGTTTGTATAGTTGTTAAGTTCTGTAATGTTAAGTTAGTGTATTCTGCCACCAAGTTCTCACACTTAATTGCAGAATTATTAATAAATCTAATCTAATCTAATAGTGCACAGCGCATTGCACTACATGCTATGACAGGCGCCTACAGGACAAGCTCAACCACGAGCCTTCAAGTCCTAGTAGGTTTGTTTCTATTAGAACTGGAAGTGAGAACACTCGCAGCAAGAAGCGCCCTACAAAACAAAGAAATTATGGAAATTTTCGGAACTACTTTTGTCGCAGTTGAAGACATGAGAGGAAATAAGCTCATGCGTTTGCTGAAGAAGGAAAGGCAGCGGCGGTGGGACGCGCATGACACAGGAAGAACGACAAAAAAATGTGTGAATCTTTTCATTCACTATACGGGCGAAGTATAGGGGACAGGCTTCATATCCCAACAAAACGTAGTATTTCTTTATTGACTAAGTATACATCTAGATCATCAGGCTGTTGTCATCAATAAAATACTTTCGTTTTAGGGCGGTACAATAAAGATAGACATGACGAAGACATGAATGGATCGTTCGTCAGGATCATTCGTTCGAAATCGAGGAGAAAACAGAAAAACTATAATGACAACGTTGATGATCTTCCTAACAAGACCAACAAAACATTTTATCCTGCAGTCGGTGCTGTTTCTTCTGATTTCTCGAATATTGATATTTCTTTCAATCATAATGACTATGGACATTGTGACGATTGGTTAAGAAGCTTGAAACCAGACAACGAAGTAATCAATGCACACAAAGTTGGAATCTTTCTCTTGAAGAAGAAGTACAAGAATTTTGATGTCTGAAATAAAGGTATGTATAAAATAGAAGTGGTATTTCAAAAATGCAATTACGTCAATCTGTTCCTTTAAGATAAAGACTTGCAGACACAAGGGTCAGAGGCTTTTGTTCTCTGTTTTAGAAAATACAGAAGAGGAATTATAAAGAGAAGTTTTACAGAATGTTGAAATGAAGAAATTCAAGAAGATATCCAGTCAGATATCAAAATTTTAGAAGTCAAAAGATTAAATCGAAAGAATAGATCCTCCAGCAGGCAAAGGTGAGGAATGGATCCGAGTCAAACTGTACTGATCTCTTTTGTTGGTCAGTTGCTCCCGACTGAAATTTATTTATTCTGTGTTCGAAGTAAAGTGGAATCTTTTGTGCCTCGCCCAATGCAACGTTTCAAATGTTTTACTTTCGGCATACCGCCAATCCTGTAAAAGCGAATGGTTCCAAACTAATACAAAAAGGATTTTTCGAAAGTCGGTTTTGCTATTTAGAGTGATAATAAAGTATATAACAAATCAATTAAAATTCCTAATTCTGCTTATATTTTCTCTCACATTTGCAGCGATTTGTATACATTATTACATTTATGAGAGGAAGTGCTTCAAATGACGTTCAATTAAGTTTCTCGAAAACTCAAAATATGTCTGTAAAAAAGATTTTCACAATTCGCATTTACAGAAACGCCAAAACGTAATTTCTTAAAAACGGCTTATAGTTTTTTCCCCGGAACGTTCCATACTGAACGAGGTTTTACTCTTCTATAATATTTTTAAAGTTATATTTCCGTTTTACTATTAGCAAACCGAAAATTGCATTTGTGTGTAGAATTCTTTCCAAAGAAGTACTTAAAATGATTTACAATAAAGTTTTTTGAAAACTTAAATGTTTCCTGTGGGAAAGAGCTCGCATTTACAATGAAGTTTAGACGACATTATCGTAAAAACGTCGATTTTTTTAACAAAAATTTCTATTTAGGACGAGGTTTTACTCTTTAATACTTTTAAAGTAATATTTTGATTCTACAATAAGGGATCCGAAAAGTTAAGAATTTTTTTTTTTAAATGTCCTCAAGACACGACCGGAAAGCTAGCCCAGACCAAAGAAAATTGAAAACTAACAAGTACGACAATGCCTTTGCCATCGTGTTGTACTACTCGTACAATTTCATTTTATTCGCTACATTTTTACTTATCTTTTTATATTTTGGCTTATTTTTCGCAGTTTATTTCCATAATAAATAAACAAAAAACACCGATGAAATTGCACGACTTCTTCCCACTTTCCCATGTCTCATTAGATGGGATGTTTGGATAAATGGATTGTATATTTATTTGTAGCCTTTTTAAAAGTTATTCAAGTTTTCTTGGAAACTATATCACACGATTCTTCAGTAATAAAAATCCAAGATCTTCTTCTTAAGCAGGAGTTGCAAGACCAACTTTTTATTGTTCTTGATTACTCTCCTGAAACCTCTTAAAACTCATTGGAGGAGCCCTGAGGAGCCCTGAGGTGCACTGAGAAATATGCACAATGAGTTATTGTGATGGTTGTGAGAGAACCACTAGAGGCATTAATGGCAGTAAGTATTCTCGTAGTGTGCTCTTTTTATTTATCAGAACATGGTTTTAAGGATATGCTTACTAAACATAAGTATTTATGACCCGTGTCATCTACTTTGTAGCAACGTAAGGTTCAAACTTACATAACACAACGTAAGAACATCCTAGAAAATGCACGAAAAGTCTAAGTTCTGTAACACAGTTGTGAAATTGTATTTTACCTTGCGAAGTACGGTTGTATTTTCAAGCATCGTTTCGCAGTTTTACTTCTCAATATGTAAAATGCCACTATTGTCATACCTGACGCTGACTGGGTGGACCTGAGCGGTAGGACCTACAACTTGTATGTATTATTGACTACTTGTAAAATAGCCGATAATCTCCAGGTTTTCTTCATATTCAGTCCTTGTGAAAGAAGAAAACTAAATTTTATATAAACCACGGTGTTTAAGATGATTATTTTTAATGTAATTGGTTCAGCTTTTAACAAAATTCTATAATTTTCTTTCATTTTATTTTACAGTACTTTGCAATTAAATTACAAATGTTTATCATACGCATTGCTACTGGCCCCTAGCGAAACTATCAGGTACTAGGTTGTCCATCACTACTAGCCTCTCGCGGAATGTATTAGGAACCAATCTACTCTTAGCGACAAGAGTTGCATAATCATAGCCATAGTTGCATCTATTAACATATTATTTAAATTATTACACTACTTTTTGCTGGCATCGATGTCGGTACAGGTCGTTGAATTCACTTTTATTAGTATAGATTACGTAAGATGTGATTGAATGTTTACAATAATTACTTTTATCCGATCAATTTAGATCTTGAGAACTAGTATTTCCAAATTCAAGAGCGTACAAATGGGTAAATAGCTAGTGTAAACGTGCAGTACTCGAATTTGGAAAGTATTAAAAAACGTCACTTGAATCCTTCGGTGGAAGTGTTTGGTGCCTTAAACTCCAGGTTCGAACTTTCGGGTCCTTGGAGTATTTCTCACTTACTGCAGACAAAGGAAGCATTAAGGGCGGAGGATTCTTCTTCGGCGAACGTCCTGCCGGGAGAGCGCGCGGAGGACGAGGGTGAGGACGCGAGGGCGGGGGTCGGCAGCGAGAGCGCCTGCGCCCAGTGAGGACGGCAAAAGCTCTCGAAAGGCAGAGCTTCCACCACTCTGAGCACGGCCGCTTTCATACCGCTCTGCGAGACGCAACGGCAGCGGCGGCGGAACCAGCGCTGGAGAAGGAGGAGGAAATTCTACTCATTTCCGCTCTGTTAATTACGTCTATAATGAGTTCGGGGACCAGGCGATTCAGCGCATGCTTTGTGACGAAGGAGTCGCGTTCCGACCTGCCCCCGCAGCGCCGCAAACATCAGAAAGCTCGACGGCGAGCGTATCCGCGCAGGCGTCGCTGCTGCCATCTCGCGGGGCCCCGAGCAAATACGCCGAGGCGCGCTCTACTGGCAGTCGGCCGTACTCCCAAGCGCGCCCTTCGCTCCGCGCCCCTCGACCCCACCCACTCTCTCGCCACCGCCCACGATCTTCCGACGCCCCCTCCCGCAATCCCCGCAGTGAGATGTTTGCTCTATGAAGTTGGATACATTCACGAAAAGCTTTCAATTTATTCGTTGAGAATTGAAGTCTCTCATCGACGTCTTTCAAGTTTTTCAGCAAAATTAAAATGCATTTTTGCCTTTGAAACGTAAAAATTATATTAAAACATCAATAATATTGTTGTTAATAGCACGTTCTTATGAATATACGATTAACGCAAAAAGGTTGTGCGGAGAATTTTCTAAAACATTGTTTTGTTTCATCGAGTTCCTTCGACCATGCCGTCTCTGCCTATGCATTTTGTGAAATATCGTTGTAAAGCATCAGCCACAGTGTGCTAATGTAGAATTTCCGACTTCTTAATCAGCCAATTATTAAAAAAATAACTAACATTGTCTTATGCTTATTACCTTGTTTGCTTATTAACGAATATTAAAAATTGTAATAATTTAATTCCTTAATATTTTCAAGAATTACATATATTTAATTTTAGATGAATCAAATATTCATGACACATTATTTTTTTATATTTCAATAATATTCAAGTATCTCCTCTTTTTTTAAACATAAAATGTTACTCAAATGTTGTATTACCAAAATGTCAACATTACAGCGACAACACAATATCTGTTGAGATCTATTATTTACTTAAACATGGTTTTGAGGTTTCTTTACTTAACTAATTCGATTACATTCTAATTTTTTCGCAGCTTCTATCCTTCTCCAGACAACTACTTCATTAAAACCTTTCCTTCATTTCACTCCCCCAATTCAGAGACATCCTTTTGCTTCTCGCCAAACATGGAGAAGTGATTCTAGTCACGAACCACGCTGCCTTATCTGAAAGCTTCTTTCCCGTGGAGAATCTTTTTCTTTCCCATCCCTTTCTTCTGAGGCTCTCGCCTTTCTCTTCCACTTGTAGCCCCTCGACGCGCTTAAAGCGCCCTGCGCAATCAATGAGCAGGATTTTTTCAATTGCGTTTTATAGTGAAGATCCTACCATAAGAAATTTAGTAATGCACTAGTGTTTAACAAACATGAGAAAAGATTCCTCTCCGGCAGCAGAGAGACAAAATCCCGAAGATGGAAATTTGATTTTGTGAAGCAGTTTCAAACGGAGGGTGGATTCACTCTCATGGATTTAAAGCACAGATTCAAAACAGCACATATTTTCTCGTGCTATTAGTAATGAGTTTCGTGATATAGCATCATTACAAATTGTACGAGTATGCTATTAACAACTATTCACCCATTTTTGGAAAACACACTGCACATTTCAAGTCACAAACAAGTCATTCTAGAATTTTCAATTTTAAAAAGATTTTCAATTTTCGAAACTTAACATGTTTTACTGATAATCAGTAATACCATGTTTGTAAGTACGCCTCGCTCCGTTGCTTAATAAGTGGAAATCCTCAACAGTATACTACTCTGCAAGACATGTTGCAATCTTTATTATCAATGCGAACTCTCCAATAACATTACGCTGTTATCCCTAAGGTATCTTACGAGTGGGGGTTCAGTTTTCTGGAGTGGGTTCCTACACCACTTGTGGCTTTCATTTCCTTTTATCTACCCTCCGTCGGCATACAAGTATGTCATTGGCATGTAATTGGGAAACACAAATGCAAAATATGAAGAATCCACCCATAACTTGGGTGGGGCTCTGGTAGAGTAGCGCATGCAAGTACATGTGTGTGTGTGTGTGTGTGTGTGTGTGTGTGTGTGTGTAAGTAAGAGTGAGGATAGGACAAGAAAGGGGCAGGAAAGATTGATAGGGTGTCGTTCCGGCATTGGCCTGGAATTGATCCAATAAAACAAAAAAACTAAGGCGCAGAGCAGCCAGCCGCTAGAACTCTTCTCCGGACAGAGGCTGAATTCGACCTAGCTACGCAGCTTCAACCGAAAATTCACTTCAGGACTCGAGCTACACGACCTTCCCAGGTAGAGCCGCTGCAGCGGCAAAGTTGTTGCCCTGAGCCAATTCAGCCGGGATTCCCTCGTACCATAGAGATTATTGTGAAATAAAATTGGCAGTTAAGACATAGAAATAATAAGGCAGAAAGAAGATAATGGGCACATGAAAAACAAATTAAGAAAATAGCCTTTAAATCGCTTAAGAAATCGTTACGTCATGTCAGTAGATCAAAAGACATTAGGCAGTCAGAGGGTTAATGACTTATAAAGTATTTAGCAAGAAATAGTTGTATTTTCTGAAAATAACTGTTGTTCCCAAAATCTACTTTAAGAAAGGTGATGGACGCCCGTCGTTGGACAGAAGCCTAGTATCGGCCGAAGACACAAGATAATTTCGTGGGACTTATGACGATGTCTGCCGTGTTGGTGCTCTTGATGGCGGTGGCTCTGACAGCAGCTCATCACGTACCAGGCCATCTGACCGACGACGCCCACGCTCCCCCGGTTCCAGAAAGTAAGTGGAGGAGGATTTTTTTGTACATTTAGCACGTGGATTTACCCACTTTTTCTTTACCAAAGCCCGGAAATAAGAGTTTTTGTGTCGAAAATCGCCGTTTTTCGGAGCACAATCACAATACTTTATCTTCTTACGTTAGTAATTGTGAGAAAGTAAAAAAAATACATCTCCTACGAAGAAATTGAAAATTGAAGAGCGCAATTTGGAACCATTACTTGTCTGGTTATGAGTCATTTGTGGAGTCCTGTGTCGTCTACTGTTGTGTGCTCTAATTGCTTGATTTGCTTCTTGCTACTGCTGCTATTGTTGTGTTGTGATGCTAAAATGCATGGTTCTGCCACCCGAGTACGGCTTCTTCTCTCTACCTCACCTCTAGCTGTCAAATAGAAATACTATTTGAACAATAATAAAGGTACAGCCGAATACCATCAATCATATACATACACGTACAGTTAAGGCATTCGTCAAACAGTCACAAACCACAAAATGGTAATTTCACAGTATTTTTTCTAAAATGACAGTAATCATATGAATGCTAAATTGTGTGCGAAATTATTTGCGTCGTTTTTTAAATATTTGAGACCGACAAAAAATAAATACACTAAAATAGTTTCTAAGTTATACGAAAGATATTGACTTTTCTCTCAGAAAAAAATTTACATTTAAATATTACAGTCACACGCATTTAATTTTATAACACAATTTACATCAATTTCAAATAACGTAGACATAATTGAAATTATAATGTAAACATAATTGTATTAACATTTTAATTTAATAACATTTACCGAATAATTTAATAAAAACATATTTGAGTTGATAGTCAATATTCTAGAATAAAATAAAAAAGTTAGCGAACTATTACAAAGAAATGTTTAGATGATGCAAAGTCTTAACCAACATCAGTTTTGAGGGAACACCATAACAGGGGAGAAACGTTAATGTAATAATATTTTTGTACAATAAATGTTAGTAGTAATATTTTTCTTCCTCCATACCTCTCCAGACTACAGATCTAACTGGTCATCACCTTCTAGTGTTTGTAAGAAACCCTGATGAGCTACAGGAATGCAATTCAAAAGTCTAATTGTCTCATCAGGTTTTCTCTTGTTTATTTTCAATACATCTTCGTATTTCTTTAAGAGGTTGATCGGGCCTCTAATAGAATATCTGCATATCCTTCGGATTCTACCTTCTGTGTAATGCCTTTTAATGATTTCCGTAAATGTGTCTCACGAAAATGTGAGGACCAACTAGTGAAATGGATAACAACTCTGCCTAATAATTCCACATTGCGCACATCCAAATGCAGAACAATATATATTTAGAAACCTTTAGCGATCAACTATTTATCTAAGGGAATATTTAAATTTCATGGAAGCGTGGCTTGCGACTATCTCTGATGCAACGGCTAAATTAAAAACTACATCAAAAAGTTGGCGATCAGAAAAGATAAATCGTATGTCTGACACCAATATGCGCTCTTTGGTAATTGTACATTAACACTGTCGCGATTACTCATAAATAATAAACTAACGTGCTTGTAATGGTCTCACTTATCCACTTGAAAGATAAGTAACATATATAATTCAAGAAATATTATGTTTTATGAGTACAAAACTATTCTGAAGTCAGGTTAAGGTAACGAGGCTTGGTTAGTAGAAGTATTTTATTTCGCTTTCAATTAGTTGCTGGGTTTTTTTCATTTCGATGAATTAGTTCAATAAAAATAATGGCGAACATTTTAATTACTGTAGAACCTCGTTTATCCGGTCTACAGGGAGCCGAATGTAATATGATGAATAAAGATTTGATTAATTCTACAGGGACAAACTACTATGGTTACAAACTATCGTGACAAAATAAAACACACTACACACTGCATATGTCGTTTATTCACTAAAAAGAAAACATTTGTTTGCAATGAACAAATTTAGAATAGTAAACCACGTACTTAAAGTGTATCAAGACTCAGAACTTGTTTTAAATGTTACTAAATGATACTACAGTAGTTTGTTAACTTCTTTGGAGCAAAGTTATGACGTTTACATGCAGCACATTCGCAGAGATCTTATTACTGTGAGTTCCGTCAATATTTTCGTCTGGAATTTCCGAATATATCAAATTTAAAAACTGCATCGCAGCCTCCGCTTAGATCATCCCATCAGTCTTTGCATCCCTAAGGTCAAGCCAGCGGAAATATATTGTCGAGAGACCAGAACGGCCAATACTAGACCTTGAAGGACAGACGACAACAAAGACATGTCAATTTACTAAGTTTTTAGTGAATATTCGAAAAGTGTATATTTTTAATTAGTTATTTTCCTAGGTGGATTGATTGCTAAAGCATTTACAGCACAAAAATTCAAAGAATTTTCGTTTTTCTTTAACCTCTGTCCTACATTATCAGAATATTGACCCAATAAGCAATAATAACAACACTAGGGAACAATTTTGGTTTTTTCACACCTTCAGGATGAAAGCATGTGATTTGAAAAGAAACGATCACACTGATTTCGAAAAACTTTATAAATTTTTCTATCACACTGGGTTCAAACATACGAGCATATTTACTATTAGATACAAACAAAGATCTAATTTTTTTGCATTGTTACTCCAGTTATATTACAAAATTTTATGAGCATTCTTCATACGAGATAAGAAAAAGTTAAAAATGGGGGAAACGCGGTTTCAGTTTCATCATCTATTAACTATCTATTTCATGATTTATTAACCATGTTTCTGGGTGTACAGGCACTGGTATCTTGGCAGAAGAATTATGTGGATAATTGATCTAAACAGAACAGATATCTTTATCATGAGGAAGTATTAGTCATTAATATGTTTTTTTCTTGGTATTCTCCAAAAAATTGTCAATCAATCAAATCATTGCTATAGCGAATAACAATGATTTGCGTTTTCCGTACAGCCACAACCTAAGATTGACAGGTGATACAATACTGGTGAGCATCCCGTGGTTTGTTCTAATCACAAACACGACAGCCAAAGTATAAAGAGTACACAAGTTTTGTAATTTCATGTATTTTTCCTTTAGAATTTGTGTGTAGATATTCCACAAACATAACAGAAGTTATCGGGTTGATTGCCATACTTTCGATGTGCATTGTATCGTACCGATTCAATTCAACAGATCATGTAGCGATTTTTACTTTATAAAACCCGCAGAACTGTAATGCATTAACAGACCCACAAAACTATAATGTAATTGGGGGACACGTAAACCAGGTAGGAACTTGACGCGCACTGCGGGTACAGTTCCGCATGAATCTGCCACCCCAACAGTTGGATATTGTATAGGGTAAGGGGGTAAAGTAATAAGGTAATGGTGTAAGGTAAACGTCTAAAATAATTCCATTCGGTGACTGATGCGGAGTAGCAAAAATGAGGGCAAACGTGCCTTATCCTGAAAACATCCTCTGGGGACTTACTGACACCACAAGACTTACTCGTAATCGCGCGCAACTACCAAATGCAACAAGCAGTCACGGCCACCTTCGATAATAAAAAGGTTAAAAAACACAAAAAGCCTAATTGAATCGTTTATTTTAGGAATCCGTCAAACGCTAAATTCCTCATTTCGATAAAACTGAGAATAAGTCTCCCAATTTTTAGATTTCAAAAATGTTTTTATTAAAGAAGTTTCTGAAATAAACGATTGAATTTTGTTCTCATTAAATTAGCATAGATGAACTGAACAAATATTTTATTTTTAAATAGATTTTAAGCGTATTAAGCGCATCTTACAGGTGCAACTTAAATGTATTAATAGCCAAATACGGAATGAAGCGGAATAAAGATGCGGTATATTTAAACACTGTGACGTGGTATGACGTTTTTGTTGTGATATTCGTAATCTACGCATAAAATTGAGTACGTTGCACACTCACCGTCGTGAAGGTACAATTCTTGTTCCCGAGTATAATCTGAGCAATAATTATAATACAATTTACTTTTACAATTGTGCATAGGCAAAAACGTTCTGCAACTGTTTAGCAAGTGTCATTTTATGTCCCGTTTTCCTTCTATAATCTTAAACAGACTTCATTACAACTATTATGGGCATTATTGTTTTTTAATGGGTCATTAACCTTTATTTCTATATGTAAAAGAATAATTCTCAGGATAACATACTTTTACATAATGTCTATGCAGCGTCTCTTAACTACTAATGTCAGCATTAAGCCGTTTTTTTTTTTCATTCCAGACAAATGTGTTCCTGGTACAACCTGGAAATTGGATTGCAACACGTGTCACTGCACTGATTCTGGAATTTCCATCTGTACTGCCTTAGGTTGCTTGGATAATATGCCTAAACTCACATAACTTGTATAAAATAAATTGCACAGAATTTTCCTGTCAGAACGTATCTTGGACCTCACATTTTCTTTCATACTATATGTAATATTCAGAATTAACAGTATGAAATACAAGTAAATAAGTTACAGGAATGTTAAGTTATTAATGAATTCACAATTAACACTAACAATTGGTTTGTAACAATTTTCTTACAATACGGAGCGCAGTGATGAATGTATGTGCAATAAAATCTCACCAGATGTGGAAATTATATCACTATGTGTTTCCATCTCTCTCAATTAGATAACATACACAAGTATTTAATCGATTGATTAAACAAAAAGTTGTTAGTAGTGAAGTGTGAACCTTGAAATACCTTGTCCAGAAATTTTTCTCAAGTTGATTTTCACATCAGGACGTTTAGAAATCGTATTTCAACAAGTTGTAAAAGCCTTTATTTATTCACTTTTGTTGAAAATGAATTATATTTTATCAAATGATAAAGTAACAGTACAGATTCCATTGAGTTGGGTGCAGTACGTTTGCTATGACTAATGACAAATTAGTGGTGCTACAGAATGATGCAGACTCTTTCATATTAGTTATTTTTTAATTTCTTCGGTCCGGCCTTGTTGTTCGGTCTTGACTTATCTTCTTGCGGGCTGCCATCTATCGCCGTTCAAGGTACGTTTTTAAAAAATCTCATTTTTCTGTTTTCTAATAGTAGAACCGAAATATTATATTATAGAAAAATAAAATCTCGTCCAAATTGGAAATTTTGTTGAAAAATTGGAAGCCGTTTTTATGAAAATGTCTTTTCAACGTTATTATAAATGCAAAATTTGTAGCATCTTTATAAGAAAACTTTTGAGTTTTCGACAAAATTTCATTTGAAATCAATTCAAACACTTCCACATACAAATCGCTGTAAATAATCAAATTAACAGTGAGAGAGATTTCAACATACTTACATTTGCGTAATTTTTGAAAAAAAAAAGAACACAGCAAATGGCTTTTATGTCATCAAATATGAGTACATAGCATTTAGGACTGTCCGTACAAAAATTTTGAAGAACCAATTTGGAGCCGTTCTCGAGAAATTCTTGTCATTGCACCCGAAATTGTGCGAAAACTACTACCATTTTCAAACAAATGTGCGTGATCTTAATGAAAGAACTAATGGAAAACAAATTCATTTGAAGAAAAAGTCTAACTTCAATTTTGTAGTCATTTTGTAAAAGACGCCGAAAAATTTTCAAACTTTTTCAATTTGTGATACTTCAGACTTAACAGTGAAAAACGGACCTATGTCATTGTAGTAGACTGACTGAGGAGGTAAGTGTATCTTTGAGACGGCTTGGATGAGACATCAGTCAGTCTCCTTCACCCTTACCTTGGTAGCTTTGATAATAACTCAGAGAACCATCGTGTTTAATACGACACGGACGCTCTCCTTGTACATGCCTTTATCTACGGAGGGCGTCGTTATTACCTTGGGAGATTTCAGAGAACATGAAGTGATTAAAGAGAAAAATAATATAATTAAGATTACGAAAATAATAAACTAATTACAATAATGATTATACTAATGTTAGAAAAGTTGAATGAATTTAATAGCCGTGGGCACCTACAGTTCAAAACTAGTTAACATTGAAACATTACAGCGGATTACAATTGAAAACTGTGTTAATTGCACATAGCACATAATACGACTTCGAGTGTGCAATATGGCTTGATACAGAAGTGGTGAAATAGAAACATAAAACATGAACAGAATCACGTGCTTTTGCTGCGTAGTCTGGTAGAGTACGAACGCGCGGGGCACGTGTCCTGATCTGCCTGGTGAAGACTGTAGCAACCAGCAGCTTGGATTTACCGTGATTGGTTACTGGTAGTCGCAATAATTGTATTGAATAGAAGCAAGCATTGTAACACTAGCTGTGGTGGTAACATTAGTGGTAGATTACATTACACGTGAATTAATAACTGTTCACGACAGTGGGTACACTTGCAGTTTGTTGATATGAATTCAATACATGATGTATTACAGTACATTGTGCAACTTATATGCAACAAGTGGTTCTCTTAGAGCATTAACACAACTGATGGGTTGTAATGGAGGTTCAGTTTATGTTGAAATGATAACTTACATAAAATCATCTATTAATTGAGAATGTTTGATTGTAAAGCAATGTATATGAGACGTATATCTCACTAGTTCATGAAGGAACAATTGGTTACGTAACGTATCAGAACTTACATGAATCTGAACTGATGTCACTACGTGCAAGTACACAATACAAAAGCACAGTATGGATAACTTATCATTTTCACATGATAGCTGGAAGATGACGTGCCCAAGAGTTATGCGCATTGCATGTATCAATCATGACGCCGTAAGGCTAATTAAGAAAATGTATGCGCTGAGAAGCGAGGACGCTTCTACAGTTGTCGGTAAAAGCCTCGCAACTACTAACGTGTTTTTAACATTCAGTGGCTTAGGGAAGACAGTTTGGCGGTGTGTGCGGATCGGGAGAACCCAGACACAGCCGCCGAGTTCTCATGCTTGCGGCCGTTCTGCAGCCGTCCAATGTGCTGAGGTACATTGGGGTGAGTGACGAGTAAATTAATTGAAGTAAGCACGGCCGGGAGATGGCGCACCTGTGATCGGCAAGAGATCTAGTTGATTATAACGAAACACTCTCTATTCTCTAAAGCGTGCAATTGGTTATGAAACAAAATAGCTTCATAATGTAGCGAGTTCTAATAGACCCCTATATTCAAGGTGTATTCACAAAGTTTCAAGTCTGGCCTCAAAACGGAAAAATTATTAAATATATTTGTACAACGAACTAAAAGTCCGCTCATTTGAGCGTCAGATGTCACCTTTGGCATTGAGGAATTAAGCACACATACAATTTAAAAGTGTATTCAGTTTTATTTACAAAATTTACAAATGCATCGACACTTTCTGGTATCTCCCGACCACCAGCCGTGATCGTACTATCCTGTGGATACACAACATGAACATGAAGTTCCCACCTCTAGTGCACGCTCTTATTCCTCCACTAATTGAATTGAATTGAATTAATGCCTTATTTTACGTGGCGAGACTGGGGCCATCAGGCCCGCTCTTCCGTCTGAGCACGCAAATTTCGCTACGCTCCTTTCACCAACTACCAGAGGAAGGAGGTATTTCTTGGACGAGAAACAGGCGATTTTGAATTTAGCTCAGAGGCGTCATTTAGGCTTGAGGATCTTTTACATGCAAGTAAATCTACTAACATGGGACGGCCGGCTTTACTTCCCCTCCGAAGGAAGGACTACGAAGGATTTTTTTCGACCTGAAAAATCCACGGCTTCGATCGGGTTTGACTCGCCAACTTGGGTATACCAGTCCGATACGCTAACTGTTACACCATCGCCGCCGCCTAATGAGCTTCGTCACCCGCGCAATGCACGAATACGCACCAGCCTGCGCGTGAATTTTGCGCAAAGCCCGAGGTTTACTAGACTAAAACCCACCGGCGTGAGCGAGTCGGCCCAATTTATACTCGCCGGTTCATCCTCACCTGACCACCGTTGAGCGTGGGAGAGAGGTTTACTGGCACGTGACACTTGTTGCAGTGCACGCCCGCGTCTATCTGGCTCGAAGAATATCTGCAACCCCCAACGCCGTGGCTGCTAAACCTAGTTCTCAGGTATGAGAGGCTTCCGCGTCCTCCTGCCACGCAGGGCTGCCAACGTGACGCTACACATCGATGAGCCCCGCCCCAGTCTCGGGCGCGCGCCCGACAATAGACCCGGCCTTTGATCGCCCCCCATGCGTAATTCACGCGCCCTTCTCTCGCAGCCTCTTCTCAAAGACACCTAACCCACAAGCTCCAGTAAATGTAATTAAATTAGACACTGTGCAAAACAAGTGTTTACAAAGGAATGTAATGTCAACGCTGTAAGTCAATATTTTCATGATCCAGTACCTCAATAAAATGCTATATTTGTTTGTAAACTATTGACGAAGGTCACTTTCTTGTGTGTAACTTGTAATTTCTAAGATATTTTAACCATTAATAAAAGAAGTGGGATCCCTTCAGTAACCATGTTGTTAACAGGAATTTGTATGTCATTATTTTATAACCAAAAAGCACATCCGATCCCATGCACCATCTCTTGCCAGCCTAAGGATTCTCCAGGCTCCACCGAGAGCGAATCTTTGCCCCTGTCGAAGATTGACCGGAACAGGTAAGTCATCGGAGTTTCCGCAGCCACCTGTGGGCCAGCCTGGCGCGCAACCTCTGGCAGCCACCCCGCGCATAAGGAGGGGAGCGTCACAACAAACCCCTCACATGTATTCGTACTCACGGGTACTCGCAATTCGGTCATGGGCATTCATTCGCATCCTTTGCACGTGCGACGGCTGGCAGCCAATGAGAGCGGTGCCTCCGTGGCCCGTTGCCGCGTTCGCGCTGGTCGACACTCCCTCTCCGACCTAGGCAGCGCCCCACGGGAGATCTGAAGAAGTGTTACCTCGACGAGGTCGCGTCCCCCTGCTAGCCAGGGTTGCCAAATGCTTTTTTTTATTTCTACCTGCTCGGCATTTCTGCCTTTTAGGGGTGTTCATTATACAATATTCTACACATTAACTTTTAGGGATGGACATCCGCATGCGTTACCTCCTCTCTCAGAGGTCAGATGAAACGTTGTACTTCTGTCTCTTATACACATCTAGATGTTTTGGAGTTATATGTGATAATTTTGAGGAGAGGGTGTCAGTGGGTGGAATTTTTGGAAAGTGGAAGATAGGTAGGTGGTTTAAGGTGGATAAACGGAGTCTTTAGGGAATCGTAATCTTATTCTTTTTGATGAACTATATGATTTACCTAGCTTGAATATTGTACTGCGCGATTGGGGAAGGGATGAGAAGAATTTATGAGTCATAATATTTATATATTCGTTAATGGATGACATATTTAGTTCATTTTGGATTTGTATGTTGCTTATGAACCAAGGAGCTTTAATGATCTTTCTGAAAAATTTATTTTGTATTATTTCTATTTTATT